GCCTCTCATCCATATACCATACCATAAAATCTCTTAAAACATAAAAACATAATAAACATAAATCATAATCTCTTTCAAAATAATTAATCATGAATACTCTTTGAATATAATCGTATAAGAATTTCATAAGAGAATAAACTTGCATAATCACAATTCTGAACAAGTTATGTCAAATAGGTCTTGTAATGTAGTTTTGAAAATGCTTTAACTCTACTTACCTGAATTTTGATCACCACTTTGCAAGCACAAGCTAGCTGGTTGTAGAGAGCCTTCAATGTGCTAATTAACCTTTAAAAACCACAGCTTTCAAAAATCACATTCATATCATCATTTAACAAAACACAACTACGTATTGTTATGAAAATATTCATAACATATTCATCAAAATTCAAAATATTATGAGACCAGTGGCAAATAAAAGCATACTCAAAATCCTCTTTTTAGAGCTACTACATGATGGGTTTCAGATTTTTTAAACTAACCAAAAACAGTCCAAAATCCAGATTGAAGTACAATCTCGTCAGGAAAATGAAAGCTTTTTAACTGAACTTATAAAATTCATAACTAAATGTAGAAAAATTCACTTGGAGAGATTCAAAAACTCACATAAAGCTTGAGATGTATACTTTAATAGAAAAATATAAGATCAGTCAAAATCATAAGTATATATGGCACAAAAGCAGAATCTACATAGGCTGTATAGAAGACTTATATTTGAACATTTCATCAAATACCTAGCATGCAAATCTTAATCTTCAAAGACCACTCTCACATACATGAGTCATCATCTTAATAAGAGTTTATCTTCAAATAATCATCAATAATATCAAGCTAAAATCATCAATTTCACCCAGAAACCAATATTTGAACCAAAACCTCAAGAAACTCATTTTTAAGAGTCTACAACCAACATGCATAATAAGCCCCATCAAAAATCCGAATCTCAAGTAGGATTTCAACATCTTAATCTCTGAAATCTTAGTTTCTAATATAAGAAAGAAGTTACCTCAAAGAAAAATGTGTTCCCAAGTGAATATAAGCTCAAAACTTTGTGGTTACTTTTGGTTCTAGGTTGAAAACGAGTTGAGATGGGCTGGTTGAGTCTTTAGTTCATTCTCTCTTAAAAACCTATGTTTGATTTTGAGTTTTGGGTGAGAAAAGGAGTGAGAACAGAGAAGAAAGTGCTATGGTCGGAGTTCTAGGATTTCTTGCTGAAATAGACCCAAAAATGAAGTCTAAACTTGATAGAAACTAAACAAAAATAAAGTGGCCTTATAATAGAACAAGGGCCTAGGTTTTTTTAAGCCTCTAATAGCTATCCTAACCTCATAAAATAAGCTATAAAGTCTTTATTTTTCTTCTTCAATTAGGTGCCTAAAGTTCACTTAATTTGCTAACATAGACTTCTCTCATCAAAAACTCAAAATAATAATTAAGTCCTCAACACATTTATATAAAACCATATAATAAAAATATAAAATAATGATTCATCATTAAATAAATCATAATAGAGGTAAAATATCATATCCAATAATCATAATAAATAACATTTTTCTTCATAAGTTTAGCACATTAAGTTCCCACATCGAGCTAGTTGCACTGCACATTAAACCTGAAAACTCGATTAGCAAAGCTATAAGTTTAATAAAATCATATGATAGCTATAATAATAAAATATAATGCCAACAAATAACTTTGAGATAAATGGTAAATGTGGTGCATGATTTTAATTTACTAAATTATTTATTATTGGCTTAAGGCTTAATTAAATCTGGGGTATTAGACATTCACCAATCATCCAACTAGTGGCTTGACGATGATGTCCTTGTCCTTTCTCAATAGAGCATGTCTAGACGTCATCAAACCTCTTAATAACAAACATCTCACCATTCTTCAGCTTTATGGCACGAACTTGCCATCCACACTGATCATCGTCTTTACATATCACATGTAACAAGGTGGTGGTTGATCTATTCAACTTGAATTGATAGTGTTTAGAAATAGCATCCCGATGGAGATGGTATGTAGTACCTGCTTGTTCGTATAAATGCTCTTCACACGGATTACACTTGGTCCATAATCTGCAATCACTCCTACTTATGAACTATTCGTAGAAACATGGTCAGGAATTAGTTGATTCAGAGTCTATTGACAAAGGATCAGGCTCCAACACTTGTAGGGTTGTTTCTACTTGGGATGTCATCTGCCAAGTGGGGACGGGGTTGATCATCGTCCATATCCACACCTATGTGATTGTTCAGTTCATCTTCATCACCAATTCCCTCCCCACCACAAATGTCGACAGTAGCTTCAGGGAAAGGGATTACAGCAACTGGTGGCTGCTTAACATCATCACTATTTCAATTTCCTACAGGTCCACATGTAGGCAGGTGGTTGCTCTCTCCTGCTTCAGGTGTCACCATGCCATCATTAACTACATCAATGCATAATGGAAATTGGCTCAGAACATGTACGTCTTTCTCTTTAGCTGAATGTAGAAAAAAACATCCCTGTCACACTCCACCTTCACATGAGGCATTCTAACTTCAACAACATATTTCAAGACGAACCTCCTTCCATCCCCACTCAAACCTAGAGCATTAGTTAACAACTCTATAAGGCCAACATAAGAAGTACCTAGGGGTACCCAAACACCTTTTATTTTACCTCCAATGTACTTCCCAGACTGGTCCCATTTCCCATTATACTTGATGAAGGTTGGTACTCCTGACATCCTACAAACAACGCGTAGTTAGGTCATTATAAAAATTACCAGTGGTCATAATAAAGATCACCTAATGTACTCAGCCCGGTAATTTTCTACCTAAAATACATGCTAAAACCAGTATTTTGTTGCTAAAAGGTGGAGTTTGATGAGATACCACACTCGTATATTCAACCCAATAATTTTCTGGCTAAGAACATGATTAATCTAACGCGTTTGGAACTCGTTCCAAAATGATTTTATTTTTTGTATGAAAATGAAAATGAAAATGTTTTCAATCTCATTTTATTTTTTGGAGAATGAGCTGAAAGAGAGAAAATAAGAGAGAGAAAGACTATTTTGCCCCATTCATTTCACCGATTCGAGTTTTGTTATAGTAAAAATCTCTCAGAAACAGCGCATCTAACTTTTTTGCTATAGTAAAAAGCTCTCACATTATGTTACATCTTAACTCGAATTAGCGAACTAAACGGGCCCTTTATACGTGGAGTCAAAGTGGATTTGTTGTGCGAAGAGTGCTTTATGACCTGTGGCCGCCTGCCTGGTGGGGGCGGCTCCTCCGTTGTGGGTAAACGGGAAACCCGACTCCACGAACCCGAGGAAAGGCTGCACTCTCTCGTCCTGCCATTCCGAAGGAATGGAATAAAGGGACAACACTACTTGTATTAACGGCCCACCATTCCGAAGGAATGGGATAAGGACCGACCTTCTAAAAAGAAGAAAGCGTTTGAGGCCCGCCATTCCGAAAGAATGGAATAAAGGGCCTACTAAATAAAAGTCCAGCGTTTTGTAACCAATTCATACCTTAATCTTACCGTATGGAACCGACGTCGGTCAAGTATAGCAGCTAAAGAACTAAATGGGCGACAATTTAATGAGGAGAGAGATACTTTGGAAGGAAAGTGAAATAAGCTGAAGGTTTCAGCTCATCAATTGTGGGCATTTATGACATTTCAATCTCATCTCCCATTCAGCGTCCTACGTGCTAGTGCCAAAAATAAAAGTCCAAAGAAATGGTACTATTTGTAAGATAATTATTCAAATCAGTGTTATTTTTGTAAATAACCCTTAAATGCCAAATAAATGAAAAATGAGCTTTTATGGCATAATTTGCATTTTTTGAATGTTTTTTTTTAATTAAAACTTGAACTGAAAAAGTACTCAGAAGTTAACATAAAATATTTAGGGATTCAAAAAAGAACCCTACTGATGAAGATATTTTCTCCATGCCCTCACAAAAATTCGAGTAAAAGTGAGTCCTTTTACAGTAAGATCTTATATTGATAAAGCATGTTTTTTTTTTTATTGTTACATATGGTCAAATTCACTACTAATTTAAAAAATGGAATGGAGAGACCTTAATATAAAAAGAAAGGTGACAAATACCCCTTTTAGTGTATGAGTCTGAATTTTTCTTTTACTCTTAATTAATATCATGTTTAGTACAATAACTATATTAGTCAAAATTCATACTTACGTACTTTAAAAGTAAGTTCAACAATTTTTTTTAATATAAATTTGTCCACTAAAAAATAAACTCTACTGGTTGTTTGTTTTTTCTAATCTTATCATCATAAAAAAATAAAATTTTTTCGATAGATTCTGAAAAAGTAAATGGGTTGTTCTTTTAGAGTGTGACTTGAGTATAATTTTTGAGTTGAATTTGAGTTATAACTTGAGTTAAAGTAACTCAAGTTATAACTTGAATAAAATTGAGTAAAATTAAATAAAATTAAAATTTAAAAAAACGTAAACTTAAATAAAATTATAACTTGAGTTTAAACTTTTTTTAAATTTTATCATAAAAAAACAACCCTCCATCAAAAGTCTATGTTATCAACGGCTAAATCTTAATAGAAAACTATCTATTTTATTTACTTTTCCGTCTCATGTGATTTTGATAAGAGACAGAGAAGAGTGAAACTCCAAAAAAGGAAAAAAAAAAAAAAAAAAAAAAAAAAAAAAAAAAAAAAAAGAAAGACAAAAAAGGAAAATCAAAATCTCCCAAAGCAAACGAGTCAACAACCTTGAAGATACCAAAGTGTTCGCGTAGGCACCAAGCGAAAACTCCGGAAGCGAAAGCCGAGTCTCGCGACAAAAAAACGGCACCGTTTTTACAACCCGAATAAAAAACCCGACCCGACACTTCAGATTTTTCCAACATAACGGATTAGATAGTTTCATAGGCGGTCCTTCCTCAGACAATACTCAATAGATAGAAATATATATAAATATATGTAAACAGAAAAACAAGAGAAAATTAGAAAGAAAGAAAGAAAAAAAAAGAGCCCCACTACCTTCCCTTTCTCTCTTCACTTCATCTCTCTGAGAAAATCAAAAACAACTTCCATCCACTCGTTTTCCTAATCCTCCCTTCATCGCCAAAAACGACACTCAATCCCTCCCCGCTTCGCGCCGGCTTCTTCTAGGGTTTGCTTTCGTTGCCCTATTCTTCTCTTCTCTTCTCGGCCCAGGCGGTTCGATTGTTGTCGTTTTCTCGTCGGCGGATTGTTAATGGGGTGAAGAATTTGGGTCCGAGTCGAATGGAGTGGGACAGCAATTCGGATCTGAGTGGCGATGACGATGAGGAGGAATTCATGCTCAACGACGACGACGATGATGATGTCCTGGGCCTAGGCCCAGGACCGGGCCCTGGCCCGCTCCCCTTCCCCATCACGAATCTCCTCCATACGGCGCCGTGTGGGTTCGTCGTCACCGACGCGCTCGAGCCCGACCACCCAATCATCTATGTCAATACCGTGTTCGAGATGGTTACCGGTTATCGGGCCGAGGAAGTTCTTGGTCGAAATTGGTAAGTATTTTTCTGGTTTTTTTTTTTTCCTTCAATTTGATTTTGGGGGTTTTTGGTTTAATTGTAGTGAGTGACGAGAAATTTAGGTGCATTTGAAGAATTTTTGGTTAATCCTCTTTTCGAGTTGAAATTTTAGGGCTTTTTGGCACTGATTTTGTAGCGAGTGGTGAGAAATTTAGGTGCATTTGAAGAGGTTTTGGTTAATTCCTCTTTTGGGGTTGAAATTTTAGGGCTCTTTGGCCGAATTTTGTAATTTTTTTTTTTTTGGTAATTTTATTGTTGATTGTTACTGGAAGTTTCGGTGGGGTTTGTCATTTTCCAAGTTCAGGGCTTGAACTTTTTTTAATTATTATTTTTATTTGAGGGCTTTTGGAAATGGCAAAGTATTCTTCAATTCTGGATAAGTGGACTGCACATTTGGTAATAGATATCGTTTCAATTCTTGAAAAAGGTGTCTCGTTTTTTTTTGGCTAATTGTAGCGACTGGTGAGAATTGGGTGCATTTGAAGAGGTTTTGGTTGATTCGTCGTCTGGGGTTTGGATTTTAGGGTTTTTTGGCCGAATTTCTTAGCTGGGTTTTTACAGGAAGTTTCGGTGGGGTTATAATTTACCTAGTTAAGTGCTTGGATGTGCTCTTATTTTGTTTTGTTTTTCTTTTTTTTTTTTTCCAAAAAAAAATTGAGTGCTTTTTTTAGTGTCGAAATTTTCTGAAATTTTGGAGAAGTGGATTGCACGTTTTGTGACAGATAAAAATTTCAATTCTTGTTAGGTTGAGATCTAGTTGTATGGTGAAAAAAGGAAAAAAAAAAAAAAAAAGGATTATATTAGAGGTTCTTAATTTGGCGGAATACATTTGGTAGTAGATATACAGTTTCAATGCATGATAGGTTGATATCTACTTGTGTGATGGGGAAAAAAAGGGATTATATAAGAGGTTTTTATTTTGGCATTGTTTTCTGAAATTCTCGAGAAGTGGATTGCACATTTGGTAGTAGATAAAGAATTTCAATGCTTAATAGGCTGATATCTAGTTGTATGATGAAAAAGAAGTATTGTAGTAGAGGTTTCTTTTTGTATTTTTTGCAAAAAAAAGAGGTTTTCTTTTTGCATGTGTGAATGATCTTTTGGAGTGTGGTCTAGTGGAAATAAATGTGATTAAAGTGCTTGGTCGGATTCAGGGGTTTAGGAGAAGTTTGTTGCAATAGTGGAAACGTTTGAAAACTTCATCACAGAATTAAGTTGATTGCATAAGCCAGGTAGATGTCCATGGGATGAGAAACTAGTGATAGGTTTGGTCAGAAAGATAATAAATTATGCTGGTGGGTATTCATTGTTATTTCTAGTCTTCCGGTCAAATTTTCAGTTTCGTTGTAAGATTGAGATGGTTGAAGATTGAAGGTTTTCTGGTATTTATTTTACTGGAAGAAGAAGCCACCTTAATATAGAAAGCTCTATCTTCTGCCTACCTAACCACAACTATCATGTGTGTATTCATTTGCTTGAAAGTTGAGAGAAAACATACATGTTAGGAACGAACCGAAACCATGTAGATGCAAGTACTTCTGTCTTAAATTATTGAACTGCTTATGTTCCCATCTTCTTGAACTTTGTAGCATCTCGCTTAATATTATGACTGTAGCTACAAAGAGAAATGGAAATTTGCTATTATTGTGATCTATGTTTAGTAGTTTCTCATAATGACATGTAGCTTTACCTAGACTTGTTCATGCCATATAAAATCTTGTTTGGTTACATATGTCAAATATTACTTGATAAATTGAAACACAAGACGAGAAAAAAAGTTCATTTTTTAAGGGAAAATACCAGAGATATCCCCTGTGTGTGAGCTAAAGTCCACTTTTACCTTACCTTGTGTTTTACAGTAAACCTCAAAGTATCCCCTGTAACTTGTTAAATTGTGATTTAATCCCCGTGACTCATTATTGCTCAAACTTTTGTCGTGGAGAGGTTAAACTAAGTTTCTTGGGAGAAATCAATGTTTTTGTTGATTGGGGTTTGGAAAAAGATTGAATTTTCTTTACTCGCTTGAAATCCTCCAAGTACTCAAAATTAATATGGGAAAATGAAAGGAAATAATTCTTGTGATCGATAATTTTATAAATATTTTGGCCATTGTAAGTTATTTGCTTTATTAGTTATATCATTAGATGTTTTTGATTTTGAAGGGGATGTTATCATACAAGAGCAACAGGAGTCATAGATAAAAAAAAAAATCTCTCCATAAATTTAGCAAGGAAAATCATCTTCATATTTGATAATCATTGACAACCTCACCCCTGACCTCACAAAAATTTCAAAAAGAAATACTAATTTTAATTATTTTCTTATACGTCATTATAACATAAAATTCATCTAATAACTATATATATATATATACCGACAATTATGGTACCAAAATCCGTATCAATTTTCTATTTTCCCCCTTAAAAATCAGTATTAATTCAAAAAAAAACGTGCTAATTAAAAGGATTAAGCTTGATTTCTTTAAAAAGGATTAAACTTTGATTTGAAAGATAATTTTGTATTTTAAAAATAATAAGGAAAAATTTTGTATTTTCCTGTTAAAAAAGAATTTCCGCCACGTGGAGCATCCATGGAAGCATATGATCTAGGTTGCACCAAAATTTGGCGCATCTGAGAAGGTACCAAACTAGCACGCACAATCTTTCTCGTTACTCTGTGACGAAGTATCGGACTTTTCAGAGAGAGAAAAAGAGAGAGAGAGAGAGAGAGAGAGAGGGAGAGAGAGAAAATCTAAACATATTTATATGCTTATTCTTTCTAGTTTGTTTATTGCCATCCAATTTAGATTTGTTTCAAAAGGTTTTTTTAGTCTTTTCACAACAAAGATTTTGCCAAAAATGAGTCGAGCTAAAATTTGGAATATTACAAATTGCAGGGTTTTTTGGAAAATTTGACTTTAGAGTAAAGAGGGGGGATATTTTTGGTATTTTAACCCCTTTTTTTAAAACGATTTTAAATTGAATATATGAGAAATCTGCTAAATTTGAGAAGTCTCCTGGCCGTTTGTCTTATTAGGTATTAAATATCGGATATGAATAAGTGAATATCCATATACATTTCGGTTGAAACCTCTCATTTCATTGATCCACCATTAGAGAAGATGTTGATTTTTGCCATTGAAATGGGTACATTTTCAAGTGAATTAATTTTCCATTAGAGAACCCTTTCATAGGATATAACTGGTGAACTCAAGTTCCAGGGTTTGGTACAAGTAATGTAATGCACTAGTTGTCTTTATACTAGAAGCTATAGGATCATCCTTCTTAAGTTTCAGCTTTTAGTCTCTTTGTGCTGCTACTCCACTTCCTCGAGTTGCTTTCCTGAATGAATAAATTAGTAGACAGCAATTCAAGCTAAAAATAGAAAGGAAAGAAAAATGGCTAAAACGAATAAATATGAAGGAAGGTGCTAAAGTGTATTCATGTTGTTCTAAGACATCCCCTCAAAGTTTCATATATGCATAGGTCAAAGTTGGAATAGAAGGTTTCAGGTGAAAGTTTCATGTGTTTTAGGAATGGTTTTCATGTTATGAGCAAAGAAAACTATAAAATTTCCTTCACTGATAATGATGTGTATTGTTGTATGGTGTTAATTGTATGTGAAGAAATTCTGAATTTCTTTATTGAATAAAACTCGGTACTACAACTCCATATTTATATACAAACAATGACTAATAAAGGAAATAACTAACTAGCTTAACTCTTTCCTAAAAATCAGGAAACAGAATAATTGGAGAATATCACAACCGATCTCTCATTTTATATCCCAAAATACTTTTCTAAAATAAATTTCCTAACTTTGACTTCCGAATATTCAACAGTATGCTTTCTTGGTAGTAATTTTAAGGCACATGTAGAGGTTTCTTTCTTGGATGTTAGCTTACCCTGTTATTCTTTAGTCTTCCGTTATTGAATAATTGGTTAAGGAATTATGAGTTCTCTTTGGTTTGAATATTGTTATTGTGTTGTTGTGATCAAGACAAAAATCTTTCTTAGCATGTTCTGATTTGTTGGAGTTGGTTATTTGTTCTGATTGTGCATCGTTGTTGCAGCCGTTTCTTGCAATGTAGAGGTCCATTTGCTAAAAGAAGGCATCATTTGGTGGACTCAACGGTTGTTTCTGAAATTAGAAGATGTCTTGAGGAGGGTATTGAATTCCAAGGCGAGTTGTTAAACTTTAGAAAAGATGGATCTCCAATGATGAATAGGTTGCAGCTTACACCCATATATGGAGATGATGAAACAATAACTCATGTGATTGGGATCCAATTCTTCACAGAGGCGAACATTGATTTGGGTCCAGTGCCAGGTTCATTAATCAAAACATCTGCAAAATCTTCTGATCGGTTTTATTCTGGTCTTTCCTCTTTCCGCCCTGTTCCTGTGGGAGACCGAAATATTCTCCGTGGGGTTTGTGGAATATTTCAGTTGAGTGATGAGGTATTGGCTCTTAAGATACTTTCAAGATTGACACCCAGAGATATTGCATCTGTTGGGTCTGTCTGTAGACGGCTTTATGATTTGACAAGAAATGAAGATCTTTGGAGAATGGTTTGCCAAAATGCGTGGGGTAGTGAAACAACTCGTATTCTAGAGACTGTGCCTGGCGCAAAGAGACTAGGCTGGGGCCGATTGGCGCGGGAGTTGACCACTCTTGAAGCAGCAGCATGGAGTAAGCTTACTGTTGGAGGTGCTGTTGAACCTTCACGTTGCAACTTTAGTGCTTGTGCAGTTGGAAATCGGGTTGTCCTTTTTGGCGGTGAAGGAGTTAACATGCAACCGATGAATGATACTTTTGTGCTGGATCTGAATTCCAGTAACCCCGAGTGGCAGCATGTCCAGGTGAGCTCCCCTCCTCCTGGTCGATGGGGTCATACACTTACGTGTGTGAATGGGTCTAATTTGGTGGTATTTGGAGGTTGTGGAAGACAGGGACTGCTAAATGATGTCTTTGTGCTTGATTTGGATGCAAAACCTCCAACGTGGCGTGAAATATCTGGATTGGCTCCTCCTCTTCCAAGATCGTGGCATAGTTCCTGTACTCTTGATGGAACCAAGTTGATTGTTTCTGGTGGTTGTGCAGATTCCGGGGTATTACTCAGTGATACTTTTCTACTTGATCTCTCAATGGAGAAACCTGTGTGGAGAGAAATACCTGTAGCATGGACGCCCCCTTCTCGGTTGGGTCACACGTTGTCTGTATATGGTGGTAGGAAGATTTTGATGTTTGGAGGCCTTGCCAAGAGCGGGCCTCTTCGATTTCGTTCAAGTGACGTGTTCACAATGGATCTAAGTGAGGAGGAACCCTGCTGGAGATGTGTTACGGGAAGTGGAATGCCCGGTGCGGGGAATCCAGGGGGCATCGCTCCTCCTCCTAGACTTGATCATGTAGCAGTGAGCCTTCCGGGTGGAAGAATCCTGATCTTTGGTGGGTCTGTTGCTGGTCTTCACTCAGCTTCGCAACTTTATCTTCTTGACCCAACCGATGAGAAGCCTACATGGAGAATATTAAATGTACCGGGGCGGCCCCCAAGATTTGCTTGGGGACACAGCACTTGTGTTGTTGGGGGAACAAGGGCTATAGTCCTTGGTGGTCAGACCGGAGAGGAATGGATGTTGAGTGAGCTTCATGAGCTTTCACTGGCAAGCTCTGTCATCTGATTCGGGGAACAAACAATAAGAAGCTGTAATGGAAGTGGTCACAGCATTCAACGGCAAGGTGTCAGATCTTTTTGACGAATCAGTTGGCAGAGAGTCTTGTCTCGGTCATCAATAACTCTTGGCATGTGTTGCTCTAGTCAGAACTTGTTTTTGGTAATACCATAGTGCATATTTTTTGTATGGAGATTGTTCCGGCCAAAGACAAAATTTTAATTAGTTCCAAGAGTGACTTGAGACCGTCTTTGTTTTGTTGTGAGGTTTGTGTGAAATTCTGCCCGTCCGTACGCACATTGAATTGTCCGTCCCTGTCAGGTTAGTAGTATTTGATAGGCAGCTAGTTTTATATGTAGGCTTATTTTCTTACTTATTGTGCCCATATGTCGCTTTAATTCAGGTTCTGTAATTTGAACCAAGGAGAAAAGGAAAAAAAAAAAAAAAAAAAAAAAAAAAAAAAAAAAAGTTTTTTTTTTAATTATGTTGACATACTCCTAGTCTTCTATATGTAATGAAAACTAGTTCAGCTCTTCTTCAATCATTGAAAATATGTCAATAAGCTCAAAAGGATATACAAGCAAAGATAGTGTGGCCGGACCGAAGAAGCCGTGCACCCCCATTCTGCCTTACATGGTCATGGTGGTGCTAATTCTTGGTCCAGATCAAGTTTTCCTGACAGGTTATTGTGTTGCGACAATCTTCCACTTCTGAAGAAATTTGTGTTCCTTCTTTGCTGCCTTGATCTTTGCTGGTTAAACATGTATATCCATTTCAGTTTTGTGTTTAATCACAACCTGATACGTCTATTTTATTTTGTAACTTCTTTTTCTTTTCGGGCTTGTTTTCTAGCTTTTATGTTCCATTCAACTTACTCTGCTGAAACAGGACAACACGAAACTTTTTTTTTTTCCTTGGTTTTGTTCCAGGATTCTTGCAAAATGCTGCAGTGAGAATGGCTTATAGAATCACTTTTACTTTTCTTCATATTGAATGAAGAATATATCATCTATTATTAATGTAGGAAGTGGTTGCATTTCATCTCCTACAGGTAGTCCAATGATGTTTTCCTCTATGTTGTCAGATCTCTATGTATGATGTCGCGGCAGAAGGTGATTGGACAGGAAACTAGTGATGCATGATTTTTTTTTCTCCTGATACAACATGGGATCGAACCAGCAGTTTCTTCCCGACTCCTATTCCACCTGAACGCCCTAGTGCCACTAGAGCAAGCGTGCCATGCAGTGAGCACGCGCATGAGCACTCTTGCGATAATGCAATTGTTCGGTTTTTCTGAATCTATATACATATTAAGGTCCTGTTTATTTCATCAATTTGAATTTAGAATTTGAATTTTGCTATAGTAAAAAACTCTTAAAAACAGTCACATTTTACTTTTTTGTTACAGTAAAAAATTTTCACATAAAGTCACATCTTAACTCGAATCAGCGAATTAAACAAACCCTAAGGGTAAGGAGCGTTGCATGATTAGTTACAATTAATTTCTTTTTTTTTATATATAAGAACTATAGGGACAATACAATGAGGACAATCTTTTAGGGGCCATAACCTTGTTCAGGAATAAAAGCCAACAAAACAACCACCGGCTGTTTTAACAAACTATCTAGAGACGATAAGATTTCAGCCGCCAAGTGGAGGGATGATTGCCAGAAATAACAGCTCCTTAGCAATCACTCTCTATAACGTGAGCCAGTAAAGCTACTACTTGGAAGGAATAGGAATTTTTCTGTATGTCGGAGTAAATCAGTACAAGAATATCTACAGCTCTTAGGAATATAATTTTAGACAACTTTGACCTATACAATATGATCCTTCAATCAAGGGATTGAATTTGAATTACAGTAGTAACTACAAATGAGGCTCCGTTCATTTTACCGATTTGAGTTTAGAATTTGAGTTTTACTACAGTAAAAAACTCTCAGAAACAGTCGCATTTAACTTTTTACTGCAGTAAAAAATTTACATAAAGTCACATCTCAATTCGAATTAAAAACTCAAATTAGCAAACTAAACAGACCTTTAGAATACACAAATTCAACTCTATAAGTTGTCACGATCGAATCTAAAATCCTCAAGGATATTCAGATTTTCCAACACTACTTTCTAAGCAAACAAAACTCCTTCGCTAATAGCATTTAGTTTCAGCAATTGATACAACAAATCAACCATCCATCTTCTTGGCCATTGCCCACCAAAACTGAGCCCACCATTTCCACGGAAGTTGTTCCTTGGAGGAACTGTTGTGTCGTCGTTTCGCTTGAGAGGCGCCCTTCTACCGGCGTTGTTTGTTCGCGTTCCCGAGCTCCTGTTGATTTAGGATTATGAATAAACTTTTCAGAAAAAAGGTTAAATATTGTTATGAACATATAAAGAAGCAGACCATTTTATTACAAAATTGGATTTGCAAAACCATTGGAGATGGCTGAATGCCTAGTCTATTTTGTTGAGGCCCTGCCTTGGTAAAAGGGTTATTGAGTTTGCTCTAATAAAACGATATAAAAGGAAAATCGTTCTCAGGTTTCACTTTTCCTTATAGATGCATAATAATCCTAATTTTCTGTAAGGCATAATAATCCTAATTTTCTGTCACTATTTTCCTTATTTAGGAAATTAGATTTTGTGGACGTTTGGTTCATAGATTCAGAAACATAATTCAAAATTATTTTCATTTTACGTGTAATTTTTATAAAAAAAAATACTATAGTGAACCACAAATTATAATTCGAACAATGGCACGAATCTCTCTTGATTAGTTTAAGTTGGACTAGATATTTTGACATGTGTCGTCTTGATTTTCTCAACTAAATACACGTAATAATAACCCACTTTTTTAACCATATTTACAAGATTGCCATCTCTCTTTTTTTAGGCTTTTAAAAGGGAGAAAGAGAGAAATAGGTCAGGACTTGAGATGAATTAAAATTAATAGGTCAATAGTTTACATAAGTTAATAAATAGGCTAAATTACTGTTTTTGTCCATAACTTGTCTGGTTATGAACCATAACTTGACAAGTTATTATCCATAATTCACAATTTTTGTCCATAACTTGTCTGATTATGAACCATAACTTAACAAGTTTGTCCATAACTTATCTGGTTATGAACCATAACCTGACAAGTTATGGCCTATTAATTTCTATAACTACGTCAAAATAGTAAGGTGAAGTCTATAGAAGAGTCATATAATAGAGTCTACATTTAACCACCTAAATGAGAATGTCATCCTTCTCGAACAATAAAAATACAAAATAAATTTGCACATATATAAGTCTCCTTGGAAATAAATGTTTAAAATGTTCAAATTTCTTTACAAATTGTTTTTCGTAATCACCAATTAAGTGAATGAATGGGACGTGAACAACATACAACAACTATTTATCTGTCTTTCTGTGATATTTTATTATTATTATTATTATTATTGTTGTTGTTGTTATTATTTTTGCTCAGAAACAGTTACATCAAATTTTTTTGCTACAATAAAAAGCTTACATAAAATCATATCTCAACTCGAATTAAAAACTCGAATCGGCAAACTAAATGGGCCCTTAGTTCATGGTTCAGAACCATTATTCATTATTTTGATTTTTGAAATTCAAATTTTTTATGAGAGAAAAACACCGTAAAGAATCAAGAATTATAATTTAAAATTAGAAGCAAACTCTTAAAACAAACATCCGAAAAGAAATCCAAAGGAAACATATCTTTATTTTCTTTCCCCAAAGAATTTCGTGTGTGGATTTCTTTTTCTCCCATCCTAGATAACTGCTGTTCTGCGGTCCTCCAACCCTTATCAGGAGGGAAAATGGGAGGTGTTTTGTAAAATGAGACTCCTAAATGTAATTTCCCAATAAAATTTTGTTAGTCCATTTCCCAATATGATTGATATAGTTACTTTGTATCAATTTTTTTGATTGTACCAATTGTGACATAGAAGCATAATATTTTAGCCACTAGGTTGTTGAATTTTTTTTTTTTTTTTTTTTTTTTTTTGTGAATACTTGGTTATTTAAATGTGGTAAACCAAAATTTGTATAAAATAATTTTGAAACAAGCCAAAATGATTTTTGAAACAAGCCAAAATGATTTTTCTTTTCCATAAAAATAATTACCTCTGTTAGAGCATCATATGATTTAAATCATGGTTCATGGTTCGTTACAGTATTTTCTCTTACAAAAAATACACGTAAATCTAAAATAATTTTAATATTATGATTTTAATCCATGCGCATTTGGTTGGATGTTTATTAGTAACGAAATCAAGTGCTAACACTCATTTCTTATTAACCGATCAACTTCAAATGACAATTGATGGGATAGCCCAGCATAAAATCTCTCCAAAGGTTTTAAGATAAGGTGTATTCATAATTTAATTTAAGTCATGAAGCTAACGTCAATGGCTCTTTGTGGTATTCATACTGTAGATTTCGTTTTTTTTTTTTTTTTTCTTGTTAAGTGAGAACTTCCACCCCAAAAGCCACATTTCATTAGGAGATGGTGTTTTTTCTTATAAACCATTACCTATATTTATCTTTAGACGATGTGAGACTGCATAACTTACTCTTTCTTGACCCTTTTGTCTCAAGAGATTGATGACTGTCACAATTGCCCCTTCTTTTGAGGTCCAACATCCTTATTGGCCACACTTCCGGTTCAATACAAGCTCTGATACTACTTGTAACAACCCATACCTCTACTCGACATGATATTATCAGTTTTGAGCCTGAGTCTGTATAATTTTGCTTTTAGGCTTGACCCCAAAAAATCTCATACCATTGTATAGTGGTGACTCCTTATAGACCATCACATATATTCATCCTCATGCAATGTGAAACTATGCAACATATCATTTTTTAATCTTTTTACCTCAAGGAATTAATGACTGTTACATTTTACCTCAGTTGAACAATAATCAACTCAGTTGAATACGCCAATCCAACACTTTTGAGTTTGTGTCAACCTAATCACTACACTGTTTTACAGGAATTTTTTTCTTTATCAAGATAAGACAATCTTTCTTACTCTCTTTTTAATATTAATTATGATTTTTGTATTTTTTATTAATAATATTCTATTTTTGAGGTTCAATTCATTATCTCCAATAACTTTTTAATCTTTTGAATCTACTTTCACCATCGATTCTATCTATTTTTAGATACTTACTACTAAAAAAATAATAATTTTAATAAAGAGTACGACGTCACCAAGGGAGAAACGACATCGACATTTCATTGAAAATTAGGGCTGTTTATGGGTTGGGTTGGTGCGGGGTATGACTTTTTTTTTCCCGCCCCAAAGGGTGCGGGTTGCACATATTTGACCCCAATGATGTTAGAAAAATTTCACAACCCAACGATGTTCGGGTTGGGTTGGGGCGGTGCGGGGTAGGTTGGGTCGTCAGTTTCAACATTCAAAAAATTAAAGACTTAAAGTTCAATATAATATTCAAACTTCATCATTAAATAGAAATAACAATCATCCTTATCAGTCCGACGAGAGAGCACCGGAGAAAGTGGGCAAGACGGCGGCCGAGAGGACTGAGCAATGAGGAGAGAGTTATGAGGGGGTTCACGGGAGGGGAGACCGAGAATGAGATTGTGAACCCTAATGTTAGCAAGCCTAGGGTGGAACTTGGGCAGTTCGACTTGGGCCGAAAGCTTGAGGGTATGTTGTGCGAGTTGGGTTGGGGATTGCGGGTTGTTATGGGCCCAACCCGCAATCCGCCCCAAACACTTTCGGCCAGAGGTATAATGAGCCGCAAATTTAAAAATAATGCTGCGGGTTACTTTTTTCAACTTGGGTTGGGGCGGGATGGGTTGAGTTTGTGGGTTGTTCGGGTTTATGAACAGTCCTATTGAAAATTACAACATTACTTGGGCCGAAACTAAACTGAAACATAAAAAGGACTATAAACCCTGAACGCATCAATGTAGAAACGACATAAACCAAACAACTTAGAAATTAACTTCAAGAAACGTTAGCCAAATTGAAACAAAACTTCCCACAGAAACAATAGTGTCACTTAAAAAACCATCACGAAGAACTTTCAAGAAAAAAAAAATTAAAATCACGAAACGACATTGTCATACAAATCGAGGCAATCGTAAATACAAATAATAGCGGTTAAAATGACAACGACATAATAAAGACAACAATGAACCAACAGCCACGATAACCTCAAAAATATATTGAGGAAGCGACAATAGCATGTGAAAAAAAGACATGAAGCAGAGAAGAACACCTTAAAAAATGAAAATAGGATTTTAAACAACATAAACTGGAAAACGACAAGGGCAGAAAAATGAC